CAATAAAGATAGTATATCCATTTAAATGTCATATTTTCGCTCTGAGCGTGAATAGCTTTTGTAACTCAACGGTATTCATCGAGTGTGTTTAAGTAGTCATCTGTTGTAAAATAAAAAATACAAAAAAGTGCTTGTATAATAGTGATATTTGGTTTTTTATTTGATGAAGTACGACTCATATGAAAAAAATTTTTTTTTCTAATTTTCCCAGCGAAAAATCCAAGAAATTGAAAAATTCATAACTCCGTCAAATTTTTGAGTATCCGCTAGAAACGTTTACACAAGATATCTACCCTAATCTTGTATTTACGCTGAAAGTTTCAGCCTTCAAACATGTTTCATTTCAGAGATATGGAATTTTTCGTGTATCAAGGAATAGCTGTCAGTATTACCTCATCGCTTCGAGAGTTATTTGGGCTTATATTTATTTATGTTCAGCTTTTGAGAACTTTTCTGAATCACTGGCGCTCACTGTAATGTCTGTCATCCTTTGATCCCAGGAGAAGTCTCACGTCAGAACTGCCGGAAAGAAGTTTTTCATATATGAACATCAACCTTTTATTGCCACATGAACTATGTACAAGCTTTAAAGTCTGCAAAATGAATATCAACTTCTGCCAACAAGTAACAGGCTTTGTCTTCATATATCCCGACTGATACCAGCTATAACGAGTCATCGGGTGAAACTCCGGGAAACTAATCTGATTGTATGCGAGGGCGCTAAACTAAAATCAGCTGATTAGAAAGAAAAGATGAAGTGTATTTGAGGAATAACCACAGACAGCTGCTTTTCTGTCTCTATCCCTTAAAAAAATAAAACATTCCCTATCTCTGAAATGAAACATGTTTGAAGGCTGAAACTTTCAGCGTAAATACTAGATTAGGATAAATATCTTGTGTAAAAGTTTCAAGCGGATACTCAAAAATTTGACGGAGTTATGAATTTTTCAATTTCTTGGATTTTTCGCTGGGAAAATTAGAAAAACGCGTATAACTTATGAAGGAAGCAAATTGCGCCGCTATCCTTTTAGGCTTTTTCATATCTCCATATGACCTATCGATCGGCATATGAACGAAGGAAATCGGAATCCGACACCTGAGAACGTTCCCTCGTAAGTGACAATAGAGAAAAAAGTGACAACTCGTTTTGGCTTTCTAGTATGCGATAAGTTTTGGCACATATAGCCCATAACATGAAAGACACGCTTATGATAAAAGCGAGTGAGAGAAGAACCTCCTTATTCGATATAGCTGCGAAGATTAAAAATATAGAGTAAGTTACGTGAAATACATCACTTTGGAGGCCCTGCTCTTACACATACCCTCAAGTTTGGTTAGTTTGTAGAGGACACATTCGATGGTATGCCTGTGGAATAAAACAAACTTTGGTTAAGTACTGACAGTGTTATTAATTAATTAAGTTTAAATTTCAATTAAAATTTGATCTGCTAGTTCCCCTTTTGGAAAGCTTGCAGTTCGATCGGACATAGTCGTAGAAACGTCATTCGTGCGTAGTTTGAGAGGCAATGATCTGCGGTTATAGGTTCAAAAAAAAAGTTTTAAAATTATTTTTTTAAGGTATCAGATTATAATTATAAGTGCTAATTAATCCTATTACAGTCACTCTGGTGCCTTACACTTTTATTTCTAAGGCACCGATTTCTTGGAGATCATAAAGGAATATATCATTTGATAGAGATTTTCAAGCACTGCAAAACAAAACCCTGTGCTTATCAACCCTGGTGCTTTCCCAAAAACTTACTAATTAGTAGTTAGCTTGACCATTTTTAGATATATTAGATTTCCAACCGGTTTATTACTGTGTGTCCACAAAAGACATTTTTTAAATAACTTTTGACTAACAATAGCTAAAGAGTTGCGGTTTTCATCATTCGGTAGCCAAGACATGGCCGCACCTTTATGTAACAGTCGAGCTTTTCAAAATTCCACAAAATTCGATATGTCAGTTAGCACATATCTCATCTATCACAGCATTGTAGAAGTAACTAATCTATTACCCCATGGTCATTTTGTCTTCTGTTGCTTCTGGGAGCAGACCGATCTTTTTTTTGAAAACAAAATCACTGCATCCAAATTACTGCACCTCTCCTTCTGTAAAATTCGACATCAAGTTGTTCCAAGAAAAAAATTAAATCGTACGTTATAAAATTTCTCATCAATCTAGTAAACTATTTTATTCTTCGTTTTTGAAAAAAGCATTTTAAGAATTTTTAGTATCTTTACGAACATTTTCAGAAAACATCGCAACAGAGAGATAGTTGACATTTTTTTGTTTAGCTTATGTGGGACCGTTTCCAGGTGTCAAATCGCTTTTTGTAGGAAGGTCACATAGCTATGAGTAATTGATGATGCTGATTTCGAATACGATAGTCGTGAATAATATTTGTACAACTAACTCAACTATATTCATTATTTTATTTAATAATATAGAAGCTTTCAGCTCATACTAGAGTCATCATCAGCCACATATTTGATAAGAGGAACGACGTATATATATACATATACAGTAAAACCTCTCTATTGTGAACACCATTGGGACCGTCCAAAAAGTGTTCATTATGGGAGGTGTTCACTTTAGAGAGGTGACGCATGTTTTGCTGCAAAATGAAGAAAAAAATCCAGAATATCTGCTTCTACACTAGTCCTGAGTGAAATAAGAGCTATTCATTCTCTTGTTCATCTCTTTTTATTTAAATATCCTTTAGTTGAAAAAATCTTCGAATACAACACAGGATTGAGTTTTGTACAAAAAAAATCTTCTATTGTTGTTTGTCTTTTTCCTTTCTGTCTCGTCCGAGTTATCATCTTTTCTTGATCTACTTTCATATCTTATTATAGTATAAATTATTATCTGTATTCGTTCAATATCACGGATATGAGACATTTTTGTATATACCGAAGAAATCCGAAACAATAACGAGTGAAATGCACTTCATAGATATATATATGTAGTTTAACTTATGCTGTATCCATGGATATGCAAATGAAAATATAATAATAAAATATAGAGGAGAACGAGCGAATAAAAAAATGTACTTTTTTTGTCCGTGAGAGAGTGTGATCAGTCGTGACACGTAAGAGAAAGGTGATAGATAGTAGATAGAGATAAAAAAATCATTGCACGTGTGTTCACATTAGAGAGGTTATAGTAGCTAGAGGGACTGTAAAGAAGTGTTCATGTTCAGAATAGAGAGGTATTCACATTAGAGAGGTGCATTTCCAGCAAAAATAGCTCCGTTGGACCGAGACGTTGTTCAAAATGGGAGGTGTTCACTATAGAGAGGTGTTTACTAATAGAGGTTTTACTGTATGTCAAATAGAAAATGGGATGATCATCGCCTGATCTTATCAGCGAATCACTGAACGTCGTTCCTCTTATCAAATATGTGACTGATGATGACTCTTGTCTGAGTTGAAAGCTTCTATATTATTAAATAAAATAATAAATATAGTTGAGTTAGTCGTACAAATATTATTCACGTTTATCAGCGTTTTCACAACAAACAATATTAAGAATACGATAGTCGAAGCTGCTTTTAGGCGTTTGAATACCAGTTTCTGGAAAATCAGGTCTCCAAAAGCAAATGAGTTTTGCTCAAAATCAGTTTTTCACCTTGCCAGTTTGTAAAACACGTCAAGTTGTCTATCTCTGTAAACTTTTCGACTATTGAACATGGTATGATGGAACGGTAAAGGACTCAGTAGATTTATCTAGGTGTTTGTAAAGTCGATAGATGTGGGAGAGTTGTAGTAAAGGCCAGTGATAAATGTAAATAGGAATTGTTTGATACACAAGGTACGGTCGTATTGTCTTCGAAAAAAAACTGAAGCTGTCGGATAGGATAGAAATACACACCAGTAGACTCGGCTTTTGATCTTGATTACGAATACAATGGTTTTATTGCTCAGAAGTTGAGTTCTGATGGAGAAAACTGAATTCCGACGTTTTCACCTCTGATTTAGAAAAAAGAAATTTTCTTAGCAACGAAATAAAAGTTTTAAAAAAAGAAATGAGTCTTACTTTTAAAGCTGAGATTTCAGCGGATCTAATGATATGCAAATGAGGGCTCTAGCCCCTGATACAAAAACTAGGTAAGTCTACAAAATTCGATGCCGCCACTTGAAAGTAGTAGTTTGGGAAGTCCGTGTTGGACAGTCCTTTATTTTTGAATTTTATCAGACCACGCTTTTCTATTCAGTTTTCGACGCGGAATAAGAAAACATTAGTTTGAAACTTGTACACTACTAAGGAGCGCGATTTTATTTTCGAGCTTTTGCGGTGTATTAAGTTTTTCTTCATCTTTCGATATGAAAATCAACTTTTGAAACGTTGTGAGATACATTTTCTTAATCAGCTCGAAAAACTCCGTCGAACGATGTAAAATAAATTGATAAAAATGTTGCTCAACTTTTGCATTACTCGCACCTTACATCTCCATTCTCAAGGATACTAGATGCTCGATCTTTTCCATCTAGTTCATCGATCAAACATATGGTGCTGCTACATTCATAACATTAAGATTGATGATTTTAAAATAAAACGCTTGCAAACGCAAACAGCGAGAAAGATTGAAGCTAATGAAGACTAGAGAAAACGTATGATGATTTTACTTTCGTTCACTTCTAAATCATCGTTCTCTTCTCTAGCGAAAAGCCAATAATAATGTTGCGCAATATCTTTTATGTGACATTGAATGGGACATGCGCAACTTATAGCATACATAAAAGAAATTATCGCAATACAGTCCTAACAAGAGAAATTATGATGAAATACATAAGACCGTGCTCCAAAGAGAGACCGTGTGAATGAGATCACACAGGTCTTTAGAAAAGACAGATTTATCTTCTCATTGATTTTGCCATAAATATCTTCACTAATTACATAAATAATATTTACTTAATAAAGATAAAACGTACTATTTGCTATCGTTCTACTATTGTATCGTTCTTTCTTCTGTTAGAAAAACTTACTTCTCTCTCAATAAGTCATCTAAAAACAGGTTTTTGTCGACTTTTGACGGGTTTATCTCGGTGTGCTATTGAGATATCGAGCTGAGATTTTCTGTGGTAGTGAAGCAAGCGGTTAGTGAGAAAAAAAAATTTCAAAATCCATTTCCAGAAACCGGAGTAATTTTAAAAATACGACAAAAACTCGATTGTACAATAAAGTTGCAAATGACGCATATATATATAAAAGACCGTTAAACACCAAATACGTCATCAGTAATCATTCATAATCTGAAATGTCATTTTTTGCACTCACATTACTTAACGATACGAGCAAGAAACTCATATTATTTCTCATTGATCAAAATAACGAGGTCGCGTGATTTTAAAAATGTTATCAGTAGATTTCTTGAAACTAAAATCCGTAGAACCATGACGTTTATAAACATACGTATGCTAGGTTTGAAGATTCCAGATGTTCCATCCATTTCTACCCACTGTGTGTCCTCCTTTTGTTTTGATTATATCTTTCAGAAATACAAACCTATTTTATTGGTTAAGAAAGAGGTGCTATTAGTATTTTACATTTTCTCTATTGTTGAAAATTATCAACATTAAATATGTGACCGCGAATGTTTTCTTTTGTTTCTGTGAAGAAAATTTCTTCTTTTCATGATTCATTCTCAAATTACACATTTTATATTGACATATCTGTTATCAATATGTAAATAGGAAACGTGAATATATATGTTTAATATGGCACACTGTAAAATACCTATTTTTGATCGAAATATTGAAGAATATACCTACCCACACCTTACATGTGAATATGTCCTATTTAAAATTATCATTTCTGACTTGTTTCTGTGTGTCTCATATCTTTTGTGGTGTTTACATACCTCCACAATTGTTAACTATAAAAGCAATTAATTCAACATCAATTAATGTTACTTGGGGTTATTAAAACTTGTTCATATATAGCGTTTTATCATTGTCAACATATATCCCCTCCTACGTGACAGATATTCCATAATGAATACCCTAGAATGTGGAAATAGCTCATTTTTCTCCTGGATTGACTAACTCAAGCCAAAAGCAAAAGAACTGCTGCATAAATGCGTAGGCAAAAACACATTTGACTAGATTTATGTATCATTTTCGTTGTTACGTTAAGGAAAAGTAAAGTGGGCATGCTATACCTCATTAGGATAAGTTTTTATAGCAATTAAAATGGCACTATTTTCAAGGTACCTGTCCTGTACTCATCTCTGGTGCTCAGCTGATTATATTTTTTATTATTTTATGTTCTTGATTTGATACTTTTATCCACCAATGATGAAGTTAGCACTGTTTAGTATTTCATTAGTGACACATCCAACTCATAATAAGCATCAAGTATAACCAATAGCGATAAACATTATGCAAAAAATTGTAGAGAAAAAAATCATATAAAAATACAGGACCAACTTGTGCGTTCTGTCCTGTCCTGCCGCTCAGCAAGATGACCACATGTCCTGTCCTGTGCTCATTTCTGATAATCATACATTTTGCTCATTTTATGTCTCGATAGATTAAATTCAATATATTAAAGCCAATTTAAAAGCAAACGCGAATTTCCTGTTCTATTTGATAGATTAAAGGGCAAGAAACCTTTTGCTAAAAACTACTTTTTCCTACAACCTTCTGGATCAAACAAAACACAAAAACAAGAGGAAGCGGTAGCGATTTTTCTACTAAATGTCTTGGAACATTTTTGATTTTGGGTCTTCGATTTCTTCGTAACTACGAGTGATCAACCAATGACTTTTGTATGTTTTTAAATTGACCAGACGATAAGTCTGTGATAAAATTTTCACCTCATAAATAAGTATCGCAGGCGAGAAAACCACACTTTACTCCAAAAATATCTCGACAGATTTTTTTTGCAGTGAAATGTCCTAGCAGGTTAAAATGATAGTTGTTTGAAGAAAATATAAGTTAATTTCAATGTCTTAAACTTCAATCGACTCCTCTAGGGGGATTAAAGGTGGAAAATGTTTTTTCACACATTTATGGGGTGTTCTTTACTTTGGATGACGAGAGATCATTCATCTTTCAGATCTTTCATCTGCTTTTTGTGACAACACTGTATAAATATCCATTTAGAAACTTTATTTCGTCAAGAAACATTGATTTTTAAGAAAAGTTAATTTTTTCCGAAACAAAAACGCTGACTGTTGGGTAAATACTTGGTTTGTATACAATCAATGGAGCTCTATCTAATGTACGACTCAGATTTTCTTCACATTCACTTTTACTTTTATCAATTTTTTACTTCAAGCAATAACAACGCCCGGTATACTGTTAGTATTTTATCTATGGAATAAACTGGAGTGCACGGTTCGGTACCACGTAATACCACCGTTGTTTTCGTTTTTTTTACTATATTTGTGAGGCGCCTAACAGCCTTACATGACTTTAAGTATATGAGTGCCTGGATGATCCAAATCAAATTTCACAATTTGTTTGTTATTATATTGTATTCTACTTCACAGAATCCTGATGGTCACACAGTATACCGAAGATATTTTATAATGCAGTCGTATCACCTGGATACGTAATAGTAAATTCAGCATGGCTACTAATGAACATAGAATAGTGCGCCGAACGTTGACCCCCTACGTTATGATTATGTAATATCAAAGCAATCACTTTTAATGAACTGTCTATTCCAGCCACAATTGAAATTCGAAGTCGATTCGAGAATCCGTCAGTATTGCCAGCATTTTCCAATTTGGTACTTTTCAGTGGCATAGATCGACTTAAATACCAGTATCTTATCCAACGAGAATAATCATTTATTGCGCATGGCTATATCGATGACCCAGTAAATTTTTCGAACGATACGTCGTTATTGATGAATAATTCAAAACGACGTTAAAAGCTGGTACCAATTATCTTGTATGCTTTGAATCAGTTTCGAGATTTCACGATAATTCATCAGTGAGTTCAAAAAAGTCATGTGAAGTCTCTCGAACATACAACAGCGATAACATTGTATTAAAACCGATTGCCGATCCCATAATCAACATTGATATAGAATCGGATAAAATTCAAGTTAATTTTTATTGGCCACTTGAACTACCTTATAATAATATATCCATGGTGTCTCGCATACTTTCAAAACAATTACAACCTACGAGTACTACCGAACAGAATTCAACATATTTAATTCAACGTTATGAATATTTGAATTTAACGCCAGACAATAGTTATGTTATGTCAAATTCAATTGCACGTTCGGTAAAAAATATACCGGAATCATATACAATAACTACAACTACGACAACAGTGAGAACACTACCGGAATCACAATCAATATCAACAAAACATTGTTCATCTCTTCCCATATTCACGTATATCTTATTTTCATTCTATTCATTACTGTATTTGATGAATTTGAGTAAATAGAAAAAGAGTGAACGTTATGCGACTAGTGCGAATTGAGAAAATGGGAATTTTCACCAAAAACTTAAAGTAGTCAAAAAATTTCGAAATACACAGCAATCGATTCAATTTTTGATCCTGATTCTGAATATGATATTTCTGTTGCACAAAAAAATTGAGTTTTATTTGGGAAAATCATGAATTACGGGCAGAATTTCGACTTTTCCTTCTCTGATTCAGTAAAGTCGACGTTGCTCCACGAGGAAGCGAAACTTTTTTGAACGCATGCATACTTTTGTCCGCCTTCGAATGATGTATAATTGTTGGGGAAAGCTTTTAATGCAAAAGACTACATAGGATTGGCGCACAGAGGTCTCAAAACGGCCATGGACGGACTTAGGCCATCTGGTTCAGGCGCTAGAATAGATAAAGTACTCTCGAACTTACATGGTTAGACTCCTCTTGAGCTGCTGAACCCGAATATGTGTGTTTGAGAAAACGAGAACCTATGTAACTGGGTCAGAATTGAAGTTTACTTCGAAAGTGTCAAAATCTCACTTTTCAGGTGGTATTCAGTATTTTGAAGATTTATCCCTCAAAACTTGATCAAAAGTGAATAAAAAGGTGATATTCAGAATCTACGTTTCACGGGCTATTAAATCATGTATATTTAAAGAAAACCTATTTTTGTGTGTTCCTTTCGAATTTCCGGCACCTTAACAAATTTCAGACGAAATTCTATCGCTACAATGTCAATCCTAATGGTACTATATCATTTTTGTAAAAGTTACTCGATTTCTTCATTTTTCTGTTGATTACTTACTTTTTATTACCTTTGCCATCCTCCGGGAGTATCTTCTGATATGAAAAGTATATAATTTCAATAGAATATGAAAAAAAGATCGTTTCTATCGAAAGGTGGCATTGAGGCCACCATAAGCAGAAGTATCGAAAAACTTTTATTTTCCGATAATAAAACAAATCCAAAAACATTTTCAGTAACACTTGGAAATAGAGTAAAGGTTTCTCGGTAACTCCTTTGAGGTAAGTCCTTGGTAAGTTCCTTTGACTGTTTTCTTCGATCTTTTCGATTTTTGAAATCGAACATTCCCAAGCAAAAATCGCCCAGCGGAAAAATCTAGATGTTCTTGCTGGAGCATTGGGCAATGCGCCAGCAAGAACATCTAGCTAAAAGAGTAAAAAAAATTGACTTATCTAGATGTATCGGGTTGGGCCCAATGGCACACAATGCAAATCTCAATGCCTTGAGAAGCCAGAAAATAGGCAAGCAGAGCAATGCTTCTGTTGATGCATCCCTCTATTTCTGCAATACAAT